AAGAAACCCAGCTGAAAACCGTGTGTTTATCTTTAGGAACAGCATCAGACATGATCAAAACAAAAGCTGTACTTTAACTGTTTACCATCTCATAAATGATAGTAAGGCCCAATCTATTGAAGGGGTTGTGTCATGCCTGCCAACATTCGGATCATAAAATCCGGGAGATTTTATGCGGGGGTTGCGCGTTTGGTTCAGTGTGCATGGGGACTGTACCAAAAAGCTGAGGAGCAGGGGGAGGGGTTGGAATTTCGGGAGTTTTCAGAACAATATGGGAGATGTTTGGGAGATGGATCTAAAAGATGGGAGACTCCCGGGAAACACAAGAGTGTTGGCAGGTTTGGTTGGGGTGTCACATTTCGCTTTAGCTTGAAGGCATAGGGCTAAAGGGAAGGGCTTGGACCCCAATCCCATTTCTATTTCTGTAACCCTACCCACCTTCCTCTTGGCCCTTGAAACAGAGTGCGAAGTGGAAGGGCTTCGAAATTTACCTCTAAGAAAAGGGACAGCACTACAGCACCTACACACATCATTATATGTCATCACAATCCCTTGCTTTATGAGATTGAGGATTGCGAATGCTGGAGTTTTTTTCCAGTTGTGTTATTTTTTTGGTATTTATCTTTAGGACATCACTGAAGACAATGATATCACACAAAACAGCATTAAAGGGTCACGAACCACCAAAACCACATTTTTTGAGATGTTGACAGTCATTTATGTGTCCCACCCGGCTATAAACACTATTAGGACACATATATTTCATGAAAAAGTGAAAATTCGTTATTCGAGCAAATTCGTTATTACGGTTTAAAGCGAATTTTTGAAGCTGCGTCTCTGCGATTAGATCCTTGCGTGTATTCCAGTGTGGAGAGTGCATGTCTGTACTGGCACGTGCATCGTGACGTCTCTGAGTGTGCAGGATTAATTCATGAGTAAGATTGTGTTCAAACCAATCAGCGTGCTCTATTGTGTATGCGTGAATCTTCATTAATATGCATGATAGCTTCGAAGACCTTTTACAGTGTTCAGACGGCAGAGAGATGCCGCATTGTGTTGCCAAAACAAGTGGAAGAAGAAGAATTGTTTGGAGACATGGGTCATCAGTGTTGTGTTTATGAATGTGCTGCAATGAAGGCTTTATTTCCATTTCCTCGCTATGAGAGCACAGCTGGACTCACATGTGGATTACAGAGCACATGACAGACATATGTTTGTAAGGAACATTTTTTACCCGAGAGCTTTTCGCATCTGGAAATTGTAAAATCCCAATTTGTCGCTCGTCTCCTTTTAAAAAAAGACGCGGCTCCAGTTGGTGTTGATTGTCGTGTGCTCAGTGGTTTTTGTTTGTTTATTTAGATGACAAAGTTAGTTCATATCATCAGCAGTATTCTATCTGTGTTTAAAGACATACCTTAGTCAAAATGATTGAGTTAGTAAGTTTACAGTACGTTTATATCACTACAATATTATAGACTGAAAGATTTGCTGTAAATGCTGCTCTCTGAGTGTAAACACCACAATCAAATTAATACTCTTGTGAAGGATTTTCACTGGATTTTTTGTGACAGGATAGTCTAAACACACAAGGCTTTCTGATGCTACCTACTGAGTGCATCTTAGTTACCGAGAAATGCAGAGTTTTTTTTTCCTCTCATACGGCGTGCAGTATCAAACATCCCATTAAATCTAAACTCTTCCAGCAGTTCCTCATATCCAATATCTAGTTTGTCAAAGGGGACATGCATGAAATGTTGCTGAAAGTGAAAGTGTTTAGTTTAAGTCGACAAATTAATAATTTGTCAAATAATTTGATTACTGATGTTCATCTAAATACGGTCTTTCTCCCCAGCTTCTGTGTGTTTGTTTTGCCTCTGTGAAAATCAGCACGTGCTTAAACGGAAACTTCCATTTTTTTAATGCAAAACCTTCCCTCTTTCCCTCTCCTGACACTTAACCCACCTAAACAGAGCCGCTTTCCTGACTTTTTTCAAGCTAGAGGTGTAAAAACACACTGCTGAAGTCATTTTACTCTGCAGCCATCTTTGAAATGCCTCCCTGGCAGTATGCTCAGGAAGTCTGTCTAAATGGGGAAGTATCAAATTATCCAAAATTGTTAGCTAAGCTTACGATTACATATTTGGAATCACCAATAAAATTAAACAACAATCTGTCTCATAAGTTTTGTTTCTAAACATTCGAATCAAACAAAATTGACGTACTTTCAGGTTGCCGGAGCTAATGCGCATATGCAATTGAAAGGAACGAGATCACGACACTGACCTTATTTATGGCCGTTTTACATATGATCACCCTCTGGATAATGACCGTCAGATCGTGCTGCTTTTCTGAAGGAATTTACAATTTGGTCTTGATGGCGAATTTCCTCCGGAAATAAAAGATATTCTTTGTTTACAAGTTTGTGGGTGTTTGAGTAGTTGCTGTCTTGTGATATGTGTTTGACAGGACGGACTTTTTAGTGTGCCCATTTCTCATTTCTTCACACTTTGTTTTAAGGGCCAGGAAGCTGAAGGAAAATGAATAAGAATGTATATTGGCTCCAAACTGATAAAAAATAGTTTTTATCATGTCAGCAAATGATTATTGCTCTAAATATGAGGAACACAACTGTTGGAGACTCAATTATTAGACTCAATGTCAGTGAAATTTTAGGATTTTCTGGAACTCGTGAGAAAAATTGATATTAGTCATTATTTTATGTGCATTCTAAATCTCCATTACACTTTTATTGTTTTGATGCCGTTTTAGCCAAACTTTAAAATCCCAAAACGAGAGCAGAGTGCTTTATTCACTCAAATTATGATACAAAGTACATAATATCTACATTACATGTTTCAAGAACATCAAACTTAATCAGACCTAAAAGTGCGTAAAATATTCCGTCTGTGCTCTCTGTGATGTCTTTCCGTCCACACACACACACACACACACACACACACACACACACACTTTATTTGAATGGTTAGAGGACGGTAGACACAGAAGAGGAAAAGCCTGCGTCAATGTTTTTAATGTCAATGTCGCGCGCTGAGGCGACCGACCGACTAACCAACCGACAAACCTTCCGTTTTTCACATCGATTTCCTCAATGTTCAGCTTCATGGGTCTGACGAACAGAACCACCGACACCCTCGCCAATGTCTCCTGTACATGTAACTGCCAGAGATCCACTTCATTCCAGAGTATGATGATCTGTGAGTAACGTTATCTGCTCCACTTTTCCCCCTCAGTACGTTAAAGCGCGAATCTCTGCCGTTTTCGGGGTCGATTCCCGCGATCACACGAGTCCGCGGTGTGTTTACAATCTTCTAAATCTAAAGTCATTGGTTAGTCTCAGACGAACTCCTCAGAAAGTTTTGAAGGGGACTAGTTTATGTGGTGTAGGTAACTTATCCGGTTAGTGGGTGAAGCAGTCAGTGACAGAGTCTGTATTCATTAGCTCACAGCCAAGAGTGCCGCAAGCCTGCGTTTGAGTAAAGGTCTCTGCTGTTAGATCGCCCCCTGGGGGCTGGCTGCAGTACAAGTCATAAAGCCCGCCTTCTCCGTGTTAATGAAGGACACTTGAGCCCAAATAAAAAAATTTATTACACTTGCAATAAAATGTCCCGAAAGATGGTTCTGGTCGATTAAGGCACTGGTTATTGTGCTGAAATAGGTGCAGATCTTCATTTTTGTAAACAGTTTGTTTTGAGCAGTAATTTAATGCTGGGCGTGTCATCGTGATTGACAGCTGTGATTGACAGTTTCTCAAAGCAGCGCGTCTGAGCTTCGGCAGGAGACTGAAGTGTTATTATTCGATTTCTGTGTTATTTTACCATGAAAAAATGAGTTCAGCAGTAAACTATAGTTTCTGACATACATGATCCTGGTGGAACACTGTTTATTCGCTAAGGTCAGGGCTTTTTTCGGGCTTTATTAGTTTTCTGATACACGCCTAGCCACCCAGATAGCAAAACACACTCGGGCCAGTTCCGGCTAGATTCTCGCCTGCCGGAGACTTACCCCTCAGAGCTCAGACTGACTACCTCTGCTGGACCTACTCTGGACTCACTGCCCGACTCCAGCCCGAGTCCATCGAGCCAGATGCGGCGGCCGAGCGAGCCGGAATCAGCCCGCGACGCCGCGAGTAGGTTATGTGCTGCGGTCCGGAGCTGGTGCGATTGAATATATAAAACCCTCATATTTGTTAACGTTATTACATCCATCTGTGTTGATATGACAGCAAACGCATGCTGAGAAGTTCGGGGGGCGTGGGTGATTTTACATAAAGAGTTTGGTTGGAAGCTCGGCTCCGCTCATTTTCGCGGCTCCTCCTCTGGCTCCATTAGAGAGTCCTTCTGCGCATGTCAAGGCTCCAATTTCAGCAGTCTTTTGCGACAGTTTGTGCCCGTCAAGCTGGCGTTTTGCCCTCAAGGCGTTCAATGGGAAAAGGGGCTGTTGCGTCGTCCATATTTTTTACAGTCATTGCTCACAGCACACTAAAACTGTCTCGAAAAAAAATTTATAAGTTGAGTTGGGATTGGGCCTAAAAGTACTACGCAATAAGATTGCAACAGATTTGATTCTATTAGTGTAAACTGCATGTTGTATTTTCAGCATTAAAATGATGTCTGGACATTCTTTGCTCAGCCTGTCGATCTTAATACTCTTGGTCTGCATAAAAATAGGATCAATTGGCCAAACCGTCTTCCTGAAGTGGGATAATGAGGTGATTTTATCACTCAGACATGGTAAACATGCTGCATGTGTGCTAATTTTACCAGGTTCTCAAGACAACTGTCCTGTTTTTATTCTCTCCAATCATCTCTCACTCCAAAAACAAGTGGTATTTAGAAAGTGCTTTCTGTGTTGGGATGTCTTAGCTACACAACGCGAACCGCAAGTTGGCCTTCCTCCAGACACGAAGCGTCTGCCAAAGGTTAAACAACTAATATCCTGAAGGGCCTTTCTTGGCCCGAGCTCGTCCGCAGGAGCTGTAATCTTTTAGCCTTGAGGTTGTGACATTTCAGCCATACTAAATGTTGTTGTTTTTCTCTTATTCTGAAAGCCTCAAAGACCATTAATCATTTCCCCTTGCCCAATGGCGCTTTGGCTGACGCACAATAGGGCCATAGCTTATCTTCACCTTCCTGACCACTGTTTGTTTTAAGCAATAGGGTTCCCGCTCTAATGGATTGAATTAATTGATTAATACTTTTATCCAATTAGTGCTCCCTCATGCAATTAATCAGATAGCCCCCAGTGTAAGCCGTCTGCCGTGGGCCGCAGCTCGGCTGACAGATGCTTCGGGCTCAAGTTTGTGATATATAAACCTCCCTATTTCCTTTTGCAACCACACCTGGCTCCCTAACACAGGAGACATTGCTCTTGGGCTTAGCACATTATCCGGATTCTTGCTGAGTAGAAGGTTTTCCGCCTTGAGAAATGCTTTTCAGGTAGATCACCCAAATGAAGGTGTGTTTTCTTGCTGCAGTCCGAGGGAAAGTCGAGAAATTTAAACCCGCAACCATTCCGAGCCGTGTGTAGGAGAGGAAAGCAAACTCACAGTGGCACATATTGAATTATGTACTGTATATGTTTAGCAGGAATGAGAATGCTGGAAGAAAAGCCAAGAATCAATACAGTTTGTTGCACTATCAATTATTCGGAGCTGGAGAGAGCTGCGTGCGGATTTGCTTCTTTACGTATGCTCTTTTGCTCGTCTAACCGGCTATCTTTGCTCTGTTTCAGACGGTCCATTACTGAGGTCAACATGAACTCGCATGATCTGAGCCGTGCAGGTCAAGAAGGCACAACGAGGCGGGAGAGATTGGGATAATGATGGCTTCCACTTTTGATTAACATCATCAATTTTGAGGATTCCACAGTGCACGTTTGGATTTTGGGTGGACACACGTGGAAATTAAGGAAGCTGTTGGATTACGGGATCATTCCTAACTGATTTCCAATGGGATTTTCAAGAGTGCGCCAGAACATATTTTTATTTTCACCTGTCAGTGTTGAAGTTTGCAGTATTTCCTAGTAGCTGTTCAACTTAAAGCTTGACTCCAGCAGAAATAGGACTTCAATGGCTTTGTGATTGGTGCTCCATCATCGAGAAACCCAACACTGATTTCAGAACGGAGGAGAGTTATAGCTGTGTATCACCGAAACGGCCTCATCTTTCCAAGAAAGATTCTTCTTAAATGCCCTCTTGAGGACCCAGTGGCCTCTTCCGTTCTAAAAAAAAAAAATGACCAAAAAGCTATTGGATTTATAGTTTCATTGAGCAGCAGTGAACTCTCGTTTACCTTCCTCAACCCCAGAGTCAAGGAGCTTTTCTGAAGCAATCAGGAGGAAAACTTCACCCTGAACGAGTTTCTAACTTCTGCTCCATGTAGAGACCAGAGAGATTTTAAACATGGCTCCCTGCTGGAGAGGAGGAGCTCAGGTTTTGGCGGTGACTTTGGGAATTTTGCATTGCTGCGGATGGCTGTCGGGTCAGACCGTAAGGACTAGTGTTGGGAAAACAAGAGAAGCTTCTGAGCAGTGGTCGATGCTGCATGAACGGGTTAAAAGGGGATGGGTTTGGAATCAGTTCTTCGTTGTGGAGGAATACACCGGGACGGAGCCACTTTATGTGGGAAAGGTAGGACTGCATTTTGTGGCATACAGTTAAAGTCAGAATTTTCAGCCCCTCTCTGTATTCGTTCTCCAATTTCTGTTTAATGGAGAGAAGATTGTTTTCAATACATTTCTAAACATAATAGTTTTAATAACTCATTTCTAATGACTGATTTATTTTATCTTTGCCATGATTATGGTACATAATATTTGACTAGATATTTTTTATGATAGTAGTATTAAGCTAAAAGTGACATTTAAAGGCTTGACTAGGTTATTAATTAAGGTAAAGTTATGGTAGTTAAGTAAGTCATTGTATAACAGTGGTTTGTTGTGTAGACAATCGCAAAAAAAAATATAGCTTAAGGAGTTAATGATATTGACCTCAAAATGGAGTTTAAAAAAGGGTGAGGCAGTGGCGCAGTAGGTAGTGCTGTCGCCTCACAACAAGAAGGTCACTGGTTCGAACCTGGGCTCAGTTGGCGTTTCTGTGTGGAGTTTGCATGTTCTCCCTGCCTTCGCGTGGGTTTCCTCCGGGTGCTCCGGTTTCCCCCACAGTCCAAAGACATGCGGTACAGGTGAATTGGTTAGGCTAAATTGTCCGTAGTGTATGAGTGTGTGTGTGGATGTTTCCCAGAGATGGGTTGCGGCTGGAAGGGCATCCGCTGCATAAAAACTTGCTGGATTAGTTGGCGGTTCATTCCGCTGTGGTGACCCCGGATTAATAAAGGGACTAAGCCAACAAGAAAATGAATGAATAAATGGAGTTTAAAAAATTAAAAACTGCTTTTATTCTTGCCGAAATAAAACAAATCAAACTTTCTCCAGAAGAAAAAATATTATCAGACATACTGTAAAAATTTTACAAAAACATCAAATGTGAAATATTTGAATTTGAAAAAATTTACTTGAGAGCTAATAATTTGACTTCAACTGTATGTGCATATGTTTGTTTTGAAATTTTTCCCCTTGTGTTTCCATGCAAAGGAAAAGCTATTGCAGTACAATGACAGCTAAGAGAGAAGAATGTGTTGTGCATTTAAATGAGATAATTCTTAAATGCTGTTTGAAAAGTGTGATTTGCATCCAGCCAGTTGACTAGGACAGACCAAGCACATGTTTGCCTGTGAATTTCTTCTATATCTATATGGGATCTAAAACATCTTAAGATCTTGTTATCGTCTTGATGGAAATTGGGATAAGTTTAGTTTTACCTGTATAATCACACATTCAAACTTTCTTCTCAATAATTTAATTTTGGAAAAGTATTTTTTGCAAATTCTAAATAGTGAAATCATATTAGTGGCCGATGACTATCAAAGTACAACATTGTTCACAGTTAATTAAATATGGCTGTTGTTGCTTTCAATTCACACTTACATGGGATTTCAGACCCAATATTCAAAGTAGCATGGTAAACAATAGGGTGTATGTCACAAGTTGTCATTGAAGGAATTTGCTTATATAAAACCAACTCAGTTCTGTGGTATATACTTATGTTTGATTTTTTTAGTATTGCTTAGCTTCTCACAACATTGTACTTTTGGTTTGGATTAACAATATTGATAGTATTAATATTTATAATACTGAGGAATTTATTCATTTTACTTTTTTTAAGCCCTTTAGCTTGTTATCTCTCAAAAAGGGAATCCATGATGCTTTTTGCACTTTCAACCTTGTTTCATCTTTACAGTTGGTGTGATATTTACAATGTTTATTTTGCCAGCGCTAAATTGTTATTCTTTAATTTATTCATTTTCTTTTCAGCTTAGTCCCTTTATTAATCCGGGGTCGCCACAGCGAAATGAACCGCCAACTTTTCCAGCACATGTTTCACGCAGCGGATGCCCTTTCAGCCACAACCATACACACCCATTCACACTTATACACTACAGACAATTTAGCCTACCCAATTCAACAGTACTACATGTACATCTGTGGACTGTGGGGGAAACTGGAGCACCCGGAGGAAACCCACGCGAATGCAGGGAGAACATGCAAACTCATCACAGAAACGCCAACTGACCTAGCCGAGGCTCAAACTAGCGACCTTCTTGCTGTGAGGTGACAGCATTCTTTAGGTGAACAAATTATCAAATAATATTTCATCAAAGCTTGACCATTTGCTTTCAGCATTTGGAGTGGCTTCTTCAATGTAGTTGTGAGTCTTTCAGATGAGACGTTAAACCGAGGTCCTGACTCTCTGTGGTCATTAAAAATCCCATTGCACTTCTTGTAAAGTGTAGGATTGTAACCTCGGTGTCCTGGCTAAATTCCCTCCATCAGCTCTTACCCATCACTGGCAGCGTTGTCCTGTGACTGCTGTGGCATCATCCAAGTGGATGCTGCAAACAGTTGGTGGTATGGAGAGACCCCCTTTAAGAGCCATTATTCTCTGTGCGTTCACAGTGATTGAATGAACGAATGAATGCTAGAAACTCATAGACCGCCAAAAATATTGGAGGTAATGTAGAGACAAAATTAATAATTATATATTTATTACTTTATTACTTACATTTATGAACAGAAATGTTTTGTTTTTCAATATAGACCTTTTCTTATTCAAGAAATCTTAGTTCTCATCTCGCGCAAACAGACCTGCTTTTATAACACTGGAATACATCACATACGGTCTAGTCGCAGGAGTTCAAATATTTCAACGGAGCCGCAGCTCAATTCAGATCTGAATTTTCCGCATACAGAGTCGTTCGGAACTCCACACAGCTCCCGGACTTGTTTGTCGTGTGCAGTGGAAAGGAGGCTTCAGGACACTGTACATATTTCTGCCATGCCACAGAGCGCCATCTGATTAGTTTCATATTAAATAAGATTCGAATGTGCACGTCTGGTGTGCGATACTTTCAGCTGTCATTCGCTGTCATCCGTCGCGGTGCTGAGCGGCGCATACGTTGTTCTTCCCTGTAGTCTTACGGATATCTATAAGCTGGTGTGCTACAAATAAGTGACACATTTTGCATTCAGAGGATGCAAACATCAAAAACCTGCAGTTCAGCAACAATTTTTTATGTCATTTTATATTTTCAGTTTCTCATCAAATCTTGACCAATCAAATGCTCTCTAGTATCTTTCATGCCCCACCCCCTTTTAAGATGCTCTCTTTTGTTTGTTTTTATTTGATGCGCTTGAGCTCAACCACTCTGACTGGCAGAGCTGTGATAAAACAGCATGCCATTGGCTGTTTTTAAAAGGGGAGGAGCTACTTTATGTCCGGCCCTCTGTCTATATTCCAGTTGAGATCACGCCAAACCCCGAACAAAAATTGCACATTTCAAAGCGCTTCACAGGACCTTAAAAATACATGCTGTTGTTTTGTTTGTTGTTGCCGGAGTAACCGTGCTCTGCCCTCTTATTGAAATGGGGCTGCTAATTTGCATTTAAAGAGACACACACAAAAAAAAAATAGCCACCCGAGAGACATTTGCAGTGTGGTATAATAAATTATCCAGGCTGGACCTACACAGACACATTCTTGAGTCACCTGAGACTTTAAAGGCCATAATAGGACCCATTTAAACCAGAATAGAAAAGAAAAATAGCCTTAAAGTTCAAACAGTCCATTGCAATGAATCAATTCAGACGTCTTGTTCAGCAAATTCACCAGCTGAAAATGTTCTCTTTATTCTCTGCTAAGCAATTATTTATATATTATGTTGCATAGTTAATATTGATTGGTACACATTGCTTGTTTTATTTTATTACTAATTTAAAAACCACTCTGGTGTTCATGTAATGCCAAAACAGAGTGAAACAACTATCTCAAAACAATGGTATCTTAATATTTATTTACTTTTTTTCTTTTTTTGGAAAATGTTCTGCAAAGCTGTGTTTTATATATTAAATTGCTTAATTAAAATAGATTGGTACATATTGCTGTTTTATTAAATTACTAATTAAAGAAAACACTGTGGCGTTCATGTAGTGCCAAAATAGAGTGAAAAAACTCCCTCAAAACAATGCTATCTTGATTTTTCTTTATTTTATTTTGTATGTACCTACAGTATATATCATAAAGTGGGGCTGTATTTCCTAGCCGTAAAGTGGTGTAGAGATAGAGACGACTTGTGCAGTAATTCATTAAGAGATTGTGTGTGTGTGTGTGTGTGTGTGTGTGTGTGTAAGGGCAGCAAGAGGAGTTGATGTCTAAATGGGAGCCATAAAAGATGATGTTGAAAATGGAAGGGGTTTTTCTGGAGAGAGATGATTTTATTAATAAAATTACCCAGAGTTACTGCTCCCTGTGAAGCCCAGACTATTAATAGAGGCCGCTGGTGTTGTGTGTCTATTGCTCACCATATCAAAGATTTTAATTAGGGTGATATCGAATTAAATATGACCGACGCTCCTTTTTTATCAGTAACTGCCATTTAAAACAATCCATTTCTTTCACTGTCGTATTATCTGTGATTAATCTGCTAATGAAATATCATTGTTCTAAACATCCGGCTCATGCATTGGCAGCACTCGTCAAAACCATTTGTTTAATGAATTGCACTTACGTAAGCAGTTTTATGTGTCTGAAGTGCATGGTGAAACTATAAATATATCTCTGTGGCATTTAATGTGCTTCAAGTCTGACAGAAATTTCTAAGTTAATATGAAACGTTCCCTGTTTTGTATTGTAATTTGCAACACAAGCTCATTTGGAAAATGTGCCCTGGGTTATATTTTTGAGAACCCGGAAATATGTGTGAGGGTACATATTGCTGCATTTTATGTGTAAAATCAATACAGTGGGGCAGAGGACTAGACTTTGGAGGTGGAGCTGTGCAGACTTGGGTTTGAGTCCAATGTAGGACGGTTCCAAAATCCAGGAAAAACAAAACTCAAAAAAACAATGTTATTTTGTGGTAGAAGCACATATCCATGATACATGTTCTCTTCTAGTTTGCTTTTGAAAACACTATGGGTTGGATTTCGGGACATGCAGTGTGTAGGTCAGTCGATATCAAACGCATATATTATGCTCGGTGTCAAGAAAACACGCATATAAGTGGACAAAAGATG